CCCCCCTGCAACGGGGCATCCCAGCCACAGCATTATAAATAGAGGCTTAGAGCAACCAAGGTCAGGTGAGTGCATTTAACTGATGCAGCCTGAGACTATATTCTTTGTTCTACTTTTTGCATCCATGCTGGATACAGATACAACAAAGGAAATGCTGTACCCAGGTCACTGGCAGAGGTCCAAGAGTCAGGCTGCCACGTCTAGTAAGCAGCATCTCAAAGGTACCTAGAGTACAAGCTGGATAGCCCGTGACACTTGAGCCGCAGCAAAAGTAGCTCCCTGCCCCTGTGCAAGATCTAAATCGGGACCAGAAGCGCACGCCCACAGAGGACAATTTCCAGAGGACCGGCTAGGATTACAGTAAGGAAAAGGTGCTAGAAAGACAGCCAGCCAGAGCAGCCAGGCAGCTGCCAAAGCATGCCAACCAAGTGGCTCTGCTTCAGCTTTGCTGGTGGCAACCTCGAGCAATGTGTCAAAGTGCAGCATCAGTAAGAGAAAGACAGAGACCCTTTCCAGCAAGTGAATTCCCTGGCCAAAAAAAGGTTAAGCTCATAAGAAGGCTGACAGAGACAAAGTCCATTGCTACAGGCAGCTGTCATAGCAGGCTTGCTAGTTAGCAGTAACCTCTTGATGGGCAACACCATCATGAATGCAAGGTTCAGGATGGAGGACTTTGTTTGTCACTCGTATCCCATGGCTGGACCAGGCCTGTGTGGCAAAAGGCTGTCTCCAGAGGTGGGAGAAATGGTCCCAGACACACGGCCCTTCCACAACAAAGCTCATGGCCAGCACATTTAAGCAGTGCTCACGGAGCTCAACAGGAAATGCATCCCAAGTGCCTAACAGTTATAAATAGGCAAGGCCACTGGGTCACAAACAGCTGCCTTGGGGCAATACGAGTGGCAGAGCCCACAGTCCAATGGCGTCTGCTGTGGCCGGATAAAACAAATGCAGCCTTCCCCACTCCACGGAAGCTTAAAAGGACTGAGGAGATCTGTCAGGGGTCTGCCCATACCCCAGCAGTTGGCTTTCCTGGAGCCAAAATCTCCTGTCACATGCTGACAGAGGTAGTCCCCATGGCCTGCACTGGAAGGAAAACTAAGGCAGTCTCATTCTGTGGCCCAACCTCCCTAATATTTGAGCTTGTTTCTTTCTGCAGGTGTCAGGAAACAGAACAGGAGTCCAGCACTGCCATAAGTCTCCAGACCATTTCCTTGCATCGTGAGCCAGCATAAGGACAGAAACATCTGGATATGCAATGCCAGTCATGCGCTCTTGCCCAGGACAGGTGGGATTATACAAGGTTCCTCCTCACGTCTCCAGCACAAAACCTCCCAAGTAACACAAGGAGGTTTCCATTTACCCAGAACATTTTTAGCCCAGACAAGCAGTCCAAGGCAGGCATTCCCAAACGAGAGGTGCTGCAGGAAGCCCCAAAACATGTGATCATCGCAACCTCCCTAAGGACACAGTGCACGTCCTGGCACACCATCAGAGGGACCCACCAAGCCAAGCCAAGCATCATGTATGGCCTGGGGCTGCCTCCAAGTGCCCAAAGGCGTCCTGGGAGCAGGAGCTCCTCGCACTGGAACGCTACAAGGGAAGGGAAGAGTCCGTCCCAGCCTCCACTGTCTGTCCAGGCAGGGGCCAAGACAGGACCTTGGCAGTACCTCCTCCTTACATAACCCTGGACTAGACACAGAGCCAAACAAGAGGGGTAGAGCAGGCAGGGGAGCGAGGGCAGAGATGGAGGATGCGTGGTGCCAGACGCTGCCAAGCTCTGCAGCACTCAGGGCAGCCTGGTTTGCACCGAGTCCTCAGCTGCCAGCTACAGCCAGGGCATGGAGCTGAAGTGCACACAGGAAACCGCAGCCCCACGGCACCCGCCACTCTCCCCTGCAGGCAGATGCACCTGCCTCAGCATCGCGTGCTCCCGAGACAGGAACAGGCCAAGAGGGGCGAGCAGCGCGAGGGCTCGCGTGGGAGAGCAGAAGCAGCAGGAAAAGACGAGAGGAAGCAAGTCCATCTCGGGGGAGCGGGAAGGCCGCGAGGGTCTCGGCACGGGGCAGAGAGCAGACCCCAGGGAAGAGAGGGGACCTTCCTTTATGCCCACAGCCCTTGCCAGCCCCTCTGGCAGGGGCATCCCGTCACCCCCTGGGCAGGAGCCGGGCTGGCCCTGGGGGGAGAGGCGCTCGCACAGGATCGCGGCCCCTCGTGCAAGGCGGGAGCCGGATTTCATCAGCCTGCAGCGCTCGCGGCGGCCGCCAGGGGCTCCCCCGCCTCGCGGCACCGGGGGGACC